AAAATATCATCACAATTTCTTAAACATTTTCTTGGCTTCACCAATTCAAATCACCATTTAACAAATCTCAAGACAAGGAGAAAGACAAAGAAAACTACTCAGATCTCATGGGGAAAAGACAATAAAACTCGGAATTCATACATACAATCAAAGTCATGCAAAGCTACAACAAGTAAATAACTTATCTATAATTTCTCCCCAAGAACACTCCTTGAAGTTCCTCTGAATCTCTTCCTTTCTTTACAGCACACAGAATTCCTCTTCAAAGTAGCAAGGAGGAAGAAATCTCTCACTTTCCCTCCACCCTTACAATCGCTCGAAGAATTCCTCACACTATTGGAACCTTTTTAACCTCCAGGAACTCTCTCCCCTTCCAGACTCCCTTTCTTCTTCATCAATTTTTGACCAAAATAGTCTTGAAAAGTTGTGGATGAGCTTTCCCAAGAGTTGCCTAAGTATCCCTTCAAAATTTGGCTAAGTCCAAAGCTTGGTTGCCTAAGTATCCCTTCAAAATTTGGCCTTATCCAAAGCCTGATTGGGCATAACCGCCGAGCTCGCCGCCAGCGGCCTCGAGGGCGCCATCCGCGGACCTTCATAATGAATTAATTCTGGATTCTCGGGAAAATCTCGCCGTCGGCGGGGTCGATGGCGCTGTCGGACCCTAGTTCAATTCTACACATTTTGGTTCTTTTCGCTTCAAATTCGCTCCTTTTTGCATCTTTTTTCCCCAATGACCCTAATTCATCATTCCTGCAACAAAACATCAAAAATACCTTTCTTTAAAGTGCAATATCATAAAAAACAGTATAAAATATGTATGAAAATCTCAAAATATTTTTTTCTGGTCAAAATCCCCCAAACTTAACTATTACTTGTCCTTAAGTAATAATAGTATGACATAAAAGTTATGATCTACTGTAGTAAAGTTTTAATTTAGAAATCCTATAAGTTTGTTTTAAATAAATATCATAGTGAGATTTCTAGAAAAAAATCAAGTAATTGAATTAACTCTGTTGCCACAAGATTATCTAGTCATCAAGTTTAAGAGTTCTAGCCTTCTATTTATTTCAAGAACGACTATATGTTGCAATATTAAGTCACTTAGAATATTCAAAAGATAGGAACTTCATGTGAACAATACTAGTAGAAGAT